TGCTGCATTCACATGCTCCTCGGATGCTCTCATTTCCCGAGTTGTGCTTTTAAGTCAGAATGTGAAAACAACATGGGCACTCGTGTTACTACAAAGATGTGTTGGATTTGTATTATTAGAGCTTTCCGACTAGCATTCGTGAATTTTCTCGGTCGAGAAATAATTTTTGACGTGCGGTGCCGGTGATCCTTACGTCCATTTCGGAGAACAAATATTTCAATCGATCGCTCAAGCATTTAAGTTGCACTGAAATGAGGCACCGAAATCTGCGTTCTGATTCGGTTCAGGTACATACCGGTTACATAGGGACCGGTGACATTTCGATACCCAACTCTGTCTGGGACACTGCAAATTCTGCCTAAAGTAGAAGAATGTGTAGTCTGTACTTTATTATAACTACAGCTAGGCTACCTGGCCACAATGAACATTAACATTCTGTTTGCTTGTTTAAGGTCTTGATAGAACGTGTGCCTCTTCTCTGCATCAAGGTGAGGGCTACGATCTGTCAGGTCTTCCCACCAGATTACACACTTACACAGGGGTCACGAAACCGGGTCTCTGACATCTGTCACGCTCACGGGGTTTCCTGCGGACAGCGGTACAAGACAGGAAACAATTCAAGCAAACCTACCCAGAGGACATCTGATCACATCCACATGCGCAACAAATAATCTATCTCCACAATTCCCCAAAGACAGAGGGCGAGTGAAGAGGAGCGAAAGAGAGAGCGAGATTTATTAACAGCCATGGGCTATTCAGGTCTGCGGTTGTTCAACGATAAGTCCGCTGATAACCAGTCATTTCCTGAGAACAGACCATACAGTGTGCACCACTTTTGTGGAATTGCAAAATTTCCATTTCCAATTCTAAATCCTTAGACACTGTATGATATTTAACCCCCATGGTCCAGGCCAGACCGTATCAGCACACCCCCCCAGCTGCAGCACGCAGGCTAAAATCCAATTTCTGTGATAAGCTTTAGATTTGCTGTGAGGACTGGAGTTGCGTTCCTCTTTGGATTGTACGCGAAAAGGGCAACAGAGACGGATCAGAAGTGGCAAGGGGCATTGTGGCCTAGTGGGTGTGGTATGCAAGCACAGACAGGTGTAGAATGATGATACAATTCATATTCACACTCATTCGCTCAAGAACCACCTCTTGCTTTCCAGCCCCTGATCCCCAAACACAGTCCCTGACCAGCACTGGAGAAACTACTTATGGGCATAAACCACATGCTACGGACTTGAGATAAGCTTCAAATTGGCAGTTTTCGTCCATCAGAGGTTAATATGGTTTTACCCAAAGAATCTGTGCGTGCAAAGAGTAAATCCCTTCCTTATGGACACTGTCATTGAAGAAAGGTCCCCGAAGTGTTGCTTCATATTAACAGAGTTGAAGGCACACAATTATCTATAATTAGCCATTTTCACACAAAACGCAACAAATTACTTTTCGAGTACCACGTGCAACAACTTTGCATCTTTTATCTGTATTGCTACCATTCACTCATTTAAATCTACAGAAAATGAAATCATTTTGGAAATTAACTAAAAATCTGCAGACTAATTTCTTTATCGACTTGGTGTTTTGCATTGAGCATCTATCCAATTTGGCATTTCTTTCCACTACAGCAGTCGCTTAACTTTTTAGCAAAATCAGTTTAGACCCCTAAATTTATAATAAGTGATAAGAAACCCAATTTAAAACACCCTATGTCAATGATTTTACTACTGGTTGGTGTCACAGAGACCAAAACTGCACTGAATTTTCAAATGGATTTGTTATAATGTGTTCTTGAAGAGTTCAAACTGACCAAAAACTCAAACAACAAGATTTTCATACACAACAGTCATTATTCTGAAAGGCACATGGCTAAAACAGCAGGCTAAAGATATAATGTCTGTTGGGGTTTGATTAGATATGAAAAATTACAAAATTACTGACAGTAAATATATTTATAATGTTACAAAAACATATATATTTCAAATAAATGATATTCTTTTGAACTTTCTATTCATCAAAGAATCCCCCAAAATGTTTCACGGTTTCTGCAAAAATATAAAGCAGCACATCTGTTTTCAACATTGATAATAAGAAATGTTTCTTGAGCATCAAAGCAGTATATTATATTGATTTCTAAAAGAGCATGTGACACTGAAGACTAGAGTAATGATGCTTTGCCATCACAGAAATAGATACAATTTTAAAATATATTACATTAGAAAACATTTATATTTTAATAAATAAAAGAATATTTTACAATTTGACTGTTTTTACTGTATAACAGACTTCTTTTTAAAACATTAAAAAATCTTTCCAACTGCAAATGTTTTGATGTTAGTGTGCATTACAAAATTCAAGGATAGCTTGTACAAAAAATACTGAAAATGCATAAAAAATCTCAAAATGGCCAATAATATAAGAGACATGAGCTCTAAATTGGAAAAACACCATTATAATTACACCAAAGTGTCTACTGTATGCTGTAGCCTTAAGATTTATCTAGAATTAAAGGGCCTACACAAAATTGTACAATTACAAGGGGGTAGCCACATCGTTTTGGCTGCGTAGTGTATGTCAGATTACAAAATTATATTTCCAAACACCACCAGCCAAGCAAAGTCTGTTCCGTCACGCATTTCCTCTCAGACCTCCTGTGGACGAACACACAGTGGAAAGAAGAGAAATTAGATAAAAGACGAGATGGCAATCTAGCGACTTTGGCTCTGGTCCAGAACTGTCCATCGAGCAACGCTGTCTAGAAATTGGCATGCCAGGGAAGAACTCACTGAGGTGAATCACATGACGTTATGGAGGTCGCGCATGGGTCCAGTCACCTAAAGAGCCCAGACACAAGCAAGAAATAGAGTATTTAACAGACCACTGGTCCACCTGCTTCCTTCAGAACCCTCAAATTCAGTATTTAATCGAAACCCATGAGTAATACAATTCATAGGACTTAAAACCAGTCACACTTTACTGGGCTGCCAAAAGACCCCTAGAGAGGCACCAAAAAAGGGCACCAAAAAGTACTTTATCATCAAATGAAGAGTGTGCTGGAACGTTGAATTTTAAATTACAGCACCTGGCTGGATAACAATGCTAAATGAGATCAAATTTGACAGCCCAAATACCTTAGAGACCGTATGTCTTGCATGGTTCACACATGCAAATGTCATGAGAGGCTATACAATCACTTTGGAGGCATCTGTTCCACTATTTTTTTCCCTCAAAGTATGAATTGTTTCATACTCTCACAAAGAAAATGAAATGTTGATCTCTGATGAAGATGCCTTTCATTCGCTGTGATTAGAAAAGAGTCACAAAGGCAAAGCTCAACGTCTCTTCGCCATCGATTTTAATTAAGGCTTGATTACATATACAATGAACTGTAGCGGGTCATGCTTTTTGTCATTTGAAATATTTTCAGCTTTATTGAAAGACCGCACTGGGTTGATTTCTCTTGGGCATAGCGCAGTACAAAAGACTATTTTACAATCACTGGATTAAACAAACATGGCACGTTGAGACCAATGATTAATTCATGGAGGTATTCTCCATTTCATACATTTATGAAGGACGTTACCCATTAAAAATACATTTATGTATTCCAAGCACACCTGGCTCTTCTTTGAAACTTTCAGCAGGGGACAGCTCTCACTTCCACACCGAGGAATGTTCTCATGCTCTGTCTGGGGTTTTACAGACACCAAGCCCCTTTTAATAGCTCAAAAATAGACTGATGTATCAGATGGCTACCTTGGAATTTAACAAGGAGCAAAATTTCAACCTCAAAACAAGAATTAATATATTGGAAATTTCTCTGAATGGGCTAAACACATGCATGCTTTCAGCACCAGAGTCAGCTCCCAATTTCATGAGCTCAAGACACGAGTGGTCTGAGAGATCCGGACCCCTTTAAATAGCTTTTTTTTTTTACGTAATATTTATATATCAGTTTAACACCACTAATTTTATGATAAGTGATTTGAAACCTAATTTAAAAACCCTATGCCAAAGCTACACTCTTGGTTGATGTCACAGAGACCACAAATGCATTGAATTTTTAAATGGATGTTATAATGTGTTCTTAAAGAGATCAAATTGAACAAAAGCTGTCATTCATAACAGTGGCTATTTTGAAAAGCGCATGGCTATTCTGTGGTGAAATAGCAGGCTTAAGCTTTAATAATGTCTGTCTGCTGGGGTTTAATTAGTTTAGAGGAAAAGATCTGAAAAATGACAGAACATGTGGGTTAAAAGGCTGATCGCCAATAAGCTGTGTGATTGCACGCTGTTTCAGCAGTCCACCATTCTGCTCAACGCAAGTCTAAGCAAAATTCTGATCTCAGGGCCAAGAGTCTATAGTCCACTTTCTCTGCAGAAGCAATTAGACTTTCAAATGGACTGAAATCAATTATTGCATGTAAAGTTTAAAAAGCTTGTATTATGCTATATGATCTGTAGCTATGGTGATCTGGCAAATTATCTATACCTGTATCATGCAAAGAAGTGGTTCAGTTCATCCTATGTACAATAATATAAAAAGCACATCTAAACCAACTGCTTATATTCATATATTCCAAGTCCAACAAATTCAATCAATCTGACTACATTAGGGCATTAGGAGAAAAGTGAGATCAGGCAGAAAGCTCTTTAAGGTAGGCTAACTAGACTTTTCCACTTTCAATGCAGTGTAACTGTCTTAAATGCAGCATGAAATTATCCGCATCTTTCTTAAGGCTGATACATACAATAAAGTCTAACACATGAGAGCATCTTCATCTTTAATTCTTAACTAAATTTAGCCCAGAATGTCTCTCTGTTGCATGTAATACATATCCAATAGAAAGTTCCCCCATGCACAAAGCCCTTCAGGCTGAATTAGACACTTTGCATTAAACTTCTATTCAAAAATCATATCCAAAAGCAAGAAATTATGCAAGCTGACTGAAAGCTTTCAGTGCACAAAACGCATTTATGAAAAGAGAATCTCTTACCCACTTTCCTGATCACAGATGATGCTTGATAATTCCAAGAACAGAAGTCACACTACTCTTCCATCTCTCCAATGAGCCGTGCGTAACTTTCCAATGGATGGTCAGCACCTGGACATTTAGATGCGCTGGGAAACGAAGGTGAGCTTTAGTTTACGGCAGTTCAGCCGCACAGAAAAAGAAGCGAGACGAGCACCGGAGTGTACCGGTGGATAGTGTCTTTAGCCGCGTTCTCACCCGCTGCTGATGCGGTGCGTACGCGGTAAAGCATACAGATCTCTCCTCCGCGCGCTGTCACTGCGCTCTGCTTCCCCGGGTCCTAAAGCTGAACCGCAGCGCCACTGAACTTTAGTGAGTTATTGCAATGCCAGCATTGCATTTTAAAATCCCTATATGTCTTCATCCTTCCTTCCTTTCTGCAATTGATTTATCCTAATGTACAGAATACAATCAAACTGGTTTGATGATTAAGCGACACGTTCGATCTTTCATATAAGAAATTTAAGCTTAAAGGTAAATATTCTAAGTAAAAAGGAAAGTTCTGGCTTTATAAATTAAAGTAAGAGTTGTATGGCTTTGTGATCATGTCTCGCAGCTTTGAGGATGTGTATGCACTGTAAAAATGATTTTGTTGAAGTTGTAAGTAAAACAAAGAGTAGCTTATGTTTTACAATAAATTACTCTTCCAGTTTTCTACTATAAAATGTCGTGTTTCATTCATTGAACAGTAGTCAGGGTTGCTAGGTTTTCACAACAAAACCCGCCCAATCTGTTTCGAGGGGGTCCCCCAGTAAATATAGTGTTCTGGGGATTAAAAAACACGTTTTTTTGGTTGGGTTCCCCAATAAAATTAGCATTTCAGGGGCTAAATATCATGTGTTTAGGGTCGCTTCAACCCGCGGCAACAGTGTTAAAGGGGTCATATGATGCGATTTCAATTTTTCCTTTCTCTTTGGAGTGTTACAAGCTCTTGGTGCATAAAGAAGATCTGTAAAGTTGCAAAGACTAAAGTCTCAAATCCAAAGAGATATTCTTTATAAAAGTTCAGAGTCAGCCACGCCTACCTAAAACAGCTGGTTCTAACACGCCCCCACATATCTACCTCACTGTGTGGGAAGCTTTGCATAACGCCGCCCAAATGTTCATACAAAGAAAGAAGGCGTAACATTTATTCTCGCTGTAGCATTGTTGACGCTGCAGCCATGTCGTGAAGACGCTGTGTGCTTCGTTGTGAAAGCGAAACTACTTTGTTTGGTCTTCCAAAAGAGGACGATATCCGCTTCGTCATGCCTAGAGCTGATCTGTGCTGGTCGCTGAGGAAATACAACAACTTTCACCGTGGATGAAGCGGAGTCCAGCCCGGATCGTGAACTAGCCCAATAGTGTTTCGAGGGGGTCCCCCAGTAAATATAGTGTTCTGGGGAGTAAAAAACACGTTTTTTGGGTGGGGTTCCCCAGTAAAATTAGCATTTCAGGGGCTAAATATCATGTTTTTAGGGTCGCTTCGGACTTGGCAACACGTGCTTTCTATCATATTTTTGCCATTTTTTTTAAAGCAAGCCACTTGAGGTTTCACTGTGCTTATCGGTTTTATAAACTCTATTAAAGTGCAGTTTTTAAGAAATGAAGAGTTTATTTGCAAAAACAGATAACTCCGTTTTTTAATTTTCAAAAAACATGTTTTTTATTATGTTATCATGTTTTTATTGTTCTATTTTGTTAGTTAGCTGCATTTTTTTATCAAAATAACCCAACTGCAGTTTGATTGAGATTAATTGGAATGAACAATGAAAAAACATGATTTTTGAAAATTGTTAAAAGCGGAGTTATCTGCTTTTGCAAATTAAATCTTCAAATATACAAATAGAGTTTTATAATTTCACCCCCAAAAAAAGTTAATAGTTCTGACTCTAAATTGTTATTTAGTGAACCATGTTCAAAGCTGTTGTAAAATAGATAGGCTACAGTTGGCACACAAAAGTTGAAGTTGCTTGGCAACCATAAACTCTAATGTTCTAGTTCTAATGAACTATATTGTCAGTAATATATGTCAGGATTTATTGAACATTAGTGTAGTTTATCATATTGTTGTCATATTAAAAAAGCAATAAACTCAAGGCCTTTCAATACAGATATTTTTCCACAGTTATAAGTGGGTTTTATTGCTTGTGAAGTTGTGAAATTTCAAATAGTCTTGCACTGAATGTAAAGTAAGCAATGGTATCATTGAACGATATCAAAAAAAATGTTGACAGTGATTTTGCATTCTATCTTCTTTAGTTAAGAAGTATAAGAATTGTTTATTAATGGGATTTCTAAAGTTTTGCCTACTGAATTATTTTGTCTTTATTGCACATCACATTTATTAATTCATAGGATGTTTAATTCATTTTCGAGGTGGGTGTGTGGGGTAATTAATCATAGGCATGTGGCTAAATTAAAATTGTAACTCCTAAATCAAATATGCATTATGAACTGACATTAAGCTTCCTTACTTCCCCATTCAATCATTCACACTTTCACATGTCTTTGTCCACAACATGAAGTTGTTTATTTGTGATATGCTCAACCCACTTATAGATACTTGGCATTTAAGGACACCAACTTGTCATTCATTGGCAGGACCAAGCGATCCATACAGAATTAAACAGACCTTTGTGCTCCAGCCACCCACGCCATACATTTACCAGGGCTGACCATTGTAGGAGTGGGGTCATGTCTAAAGGGACTGGGAGGGACGCCCGTCATTTCCAATGTGCTGCCACTCACCTCATATGACAATATAGAGAGACACTCCATCCTGTCTAATGTTTGACGACCCCAAAGGCAGGTCAGTCTGCGAGCACCGCTTCCATCGTCTGTGATTAAAACCTTCATCAGAAGCGCCCTGAGCATGGCGTAGTCCTCCGGTTTTGAGTCCCTCACATTAGGCAGCTGTAACTACATTATTGAGTAATTACTTTCAAGGTCTCTGTGTTTTCGCGTTGTCAAGCCACAATGATGGATGAGTGTGAATATCAGTAACACTGTGTCTCTCAGGGTGAGATTCTCCTGAGAAATTTGATGAACCTAATAAAGACTGCCAGAAAAGCTATAAAAGTCCCAATAAATAAATAATTCTGATACTCATCGCAGTTTCAAAGAAGACACAAATAACAGTCTTGAAGTTGATGCAAGTGAGTTGTTTACTCAAGCTTTAGATGACAGTTATTGATGTCAAGTGATTATGAGTGGACAATAGGTTATTTAGGAGGCATAAAAAACAATTTGCATGCATTTATACAATTCAAAATTTGGCAGTGGGTACAAACAGTGGTCAAGAGCATTACAAAAGCAGTTGGATGGGACCTTTACAAAGACCTGGATGGTCTTCCACAAACAATTGTGGCCCCCGTGTGATTTTTTTGTCTTGAGGCTTTGAAATGCTCCCTACTGCCATCAAAAGTCCAAAAATGTTCTCAAATAAAATAAATAAATATAGTTCTAAGTAAATTTTCATTCAATGAACCATGTTCAATGCCATTGTAAAATAGCTCAAATTGGCACAAAACCTCATTTCGGTTGAATTCGGAATATGCATGGCAACCATAAATGTCTACTAGAAAAATAAAAAGTCCGATTAAAAAAATCCTTCCAATACTCATCACAGTTCCAAAGAAGACAGTGCAAAATAACAGTCTTGAAGTTGATGTAAGTTAATGGTTTCCTCAAGCTTTAGAGGACAGTTATTGATGTCAAGTGATTATGAGTGAACAATAGGATATTTAGGATGCATAAAAACTCATTTGCATGCATGTAAAAATTTGGAAAAGCTGCCAAACAGACTGGCTGTGCAGTGGACAGGTGTACTTAGACAGCAGTTAGTAAAAAACAGTGGTCAAGAGCATTAAAATAGCAGTCAGATGGGACCTAGAATGGACTTCCACACACAATTGTGGCCCCCATGTCAGTTTTTTCTTGAGGCTTTGAAACATTCCCTACTCTCATCAAAAGTGGTAAAAGTTTTAACTACCTAAATTCTAATGCAATGAACTATGTTCAAAGTCTTTCTAAAATAGCTCAGATTGGCACATAAGCTTACATCAGTTGAGTTCGTTATAAGCTTGGCAACCATAAATGTCTACTATAAAAATATAAAAGTCCCAATAAATAAATAATTCCTATAATCGTCAGTCAGTTCCAAAGAAGACACGGCGCAAAATAAGTCTTGAAGTTGATGTAAGTGAATTGTTTCTTCACGCTTAGATGCCAGTTTTTGATGTCATATGATTATGAGTGGACAAAAGGTTATTAAGCATGCATAAAAACCTAATTTGCATGCATGTAAACAATTGGAAAAGCTGCCAAACAGACTGGCAGAGCAGCGGGCAGGTGTACCAGACAGTAGTTGGTAAAAAACAGTGGTCAAGGGCATTAAAATAGCAGTCCGAATGGACTTCCACACACATTTGTGGCCCCCATGTTAGTTGTTTTTCTTGAGGCTTTGAAACATTCCCTACCGCCATCAAAACCAGAGATCCAAGCTACTGAAATGGATTGCTTGGAGTGAAAGAGTATGTTTTCACCCTGCTGATATTTGCAAAGGCTATACCCCAGTTTATTCAGGAACACAATTCTCATTTCCTGGCCTTTTCTTTAGGGACAAAGTTTCCATCTAAAAGCTTCATGTAGAGCACTGCAAAAAAAAAAAAAAAAAAAAGAAAAGCATTCTGGCTTCCCACTGTTGGTTAGACAGCTGGTTAGTGGGAGAGGGTGAGACAGCTAAGTTCTCACTGCAGATGACTCGATGGGCTTCCATCCGAGAGTGTCCATGGAGATGACACCCAAGTTCTTGATCAACAACAACCTGGACGCAAGCTATGGATGTGTTTTGATTCTTAGGTTCCCAAATGTAACCGTGGTGAGTCAGTTTAAATATTCAAATTTGGCAAAACATGAAGTCTGAACTATTTAGCAACAATCTTTTGAGTTTCCTTCTAGCATAAGGCAACACATGCTGGAGGTTGAGGCTTGGAAGCAAACAGATGGGCCGAGATGAGATGATTTCAATCAAAATACAAGATCTCTTCCATCTGGGCTCTCATCGGCACTTTGAAGATAAAGTGTAATGTGACTATGTGAAGGCTTTCTGTCATTTACTGCACTTCTGCCAGCTGGAGATGGAGAATGTGGAATTAAATGGAAATATTGTCAGAACTGAATTTAAGACGAG